CAAACTTTTATCATGTAGACACCTACACAGGATGAAGGATACTCTCTTTCTAGCATTATTGAGAATAAAATGAGTAGGAGGACAATTGCATAAACCACCCCATTTTGTCATGTTATATTAGAAACACAGCCTATTAGGCTTCACACCGAATCCCCCTACTGTCTGGTCTTCTAGCTTCACAATGCTCTATTGTGATTGAATTCCTCCGGTTTGTTTGGAAGTTCACTGTAGATGGCGAATGAAGAGATAAATGGAGTCTGCTCCTACTCTGAATAAACCATCATCCTCAGACCTCATTGACTTTGGCAATGCAGTAATTGTACCCAGCAGGCTATGACCCATTTAGCAGGGATTAAATCTCACAAATCTTTTCATTTAGTATTTGTAGAAGTTTCTCACCGGTTCAATTTTTTGTTAAAGGGAGAGTTCACGGATTTTCAATCAGCTTTGTATTGTTACAACATCGGCAGTCAAGTAAATGAACAATTATATTAGAAACACAGCCTATTAGGCTTCACACCGAATCCCCCTACTGTCTGGTCTTCTAGCTTCACAATGCTCTATTGTGATTTAATTCCTCCGGTTTGTTTGGAAGTTCACTGTAGATGGCGAATGAAGAGATAAATGGAGTCTGCTCCTACTCGGAATAAACCATCATCCTCAGACCTCATTGACTTTGGCAATGCAGTAATTGTACCCAGCAGGCTATGACCCATTTAGCAGGAATTAAATCTCACAAATCTTTTCATTTAGTATTTGTAGAAGTTTCTCACCTGTTCAATTTTTTGTTAAAGGGAGAGTTCACGGATTTTCAATCAGCTTTGTATTGTTACAACATCGGCAGTCAAGTAAACGAACAGTGTATTATTTTTCTGTTACCTTCACCAATTACTAGTCAAGTCAGCCGAGTGATGTAAAACGCATCATCGGGTGTACTTTTGACTGCCGGATTTTGTAAAACCTACAGATTGTTCGTCCATATTTTTGTATCCCCGCTCACAGATAGTCTGATCAAGCCAGGTGCATTATGGGTGCTGAAGTCTTTCATCAACATGTTTTCTTTCAATTACAAAACCTGTGCTAATTGAAAGAAAACAAGACAAAGACTGAATCCAAGATTTGGTGATAATATAGCATAATGAGAGAGCTGCAAGCAATTTTGACCAAATTAGGTAAAAGATTTTCATCACAACACGAAAGTTAAAACCCCATCTTGCAAGCAGTGAATTACCCCTTTAATGTAATCATGTGAGTTTGTGTAACGAAAGTCTACTGAAGGCGAGCGTAAGTGAGAACCCAAGTGCAGTTGATTTACAGTGATCCAAACAATAAACGAAGACTAGAGAGACAGACTTGACGAGGCACAAACAGACTTGACTCACCGACAGTGGGTTACAACATCAATACACGACCAGAGACAATGGCAACATGGTGGCTACTTATAGCAAACAAGAGGGTCACATGACAAGAACAAACCAAATGGGAAACAAGACACATGACTAAGAAAATTGAGATTTATAATGTTACATAAATGTCTGTTTCAAAGTTTCCACCAAAATATTAAACGGCACAACTGTTTTCAACGTTGATAATAGTATGTAAGGTTTTTTGAGCACCAAATCAGCATATTTGAATGATTTCTGGAGAATCATGACACTGAAGACTGCAGTAATGGCTGCTGAAAATTTATTATTATAGTAATGTATACAATTATTTTAAATTGTAAGATTATTTCACAGTGTTACTGTTTTACTGTATTTGTAATCAAATAAATACAGCCTTGGTGAGCATTAGAAGCTTCTTTTAAAAACATTTTAAAAAATCCTACTGACCCCAAACATATAGTGTAGGAAGCCTGCTCTTGGAGAGCTACCTTCCTGCAAACTTCCATTCCAGCCTTGCTCCAATATTGTCAAGTAACCCTGATTATCTGGTTCAGATGAGAGCTGAAATCTGCAGGACAGCTGTCCAGGAGCAGGGTTGGAGATCCCTGTTGTAGACAGTATGTCAGCTAAACCTTTGACAACAATAATTTTGCACTATTGGTTATATTTACATTTAATACATGCAAGAGAATGCAAGTGAGATTCCTGAAGAAACGCTTTGTTATCACTTGCAGCGAAAGACAGGAGAAGCCTTACATCAGAAGCTTTTTTTTAGTGTGAACTTGAACACGTCTCAGCATTCTCACACTCTAGTGTTCCTCACAGCTCATCCGGACTGGTGTCTTCTCTGGTGTCAACCCTAGTGCTGCCTCATATGCCAGATGTTATAGTCTCTGCATACATAAAAAGAGTGTTTAAAATAATTCTGACAGGATCACAGGATCATGTTTAAAGAGGTATATAAATAGAGCTCAGCAAACAATATCTTTTGTTTTCGTTCCATTTATTGCAACTGCAGAATATTAGCAATAGTAAGGAAGATTTGAAAATGCAAGTTAGACATTTAGCTGTAGATGTATTAGTATTTTTGTATATGGAGGGTGTGAATGGGTGGAGTGGGTATGTATGTTTGAATTATTTGACTTGCCATGTTTTTTTGTAAGGTAATGCTCTCAAATGCCCCTTAAGATCAGTTTCAGGCAAATACTGCTCTATAATTTTAAAATTAAAAAAGTTATTTTTTTTACACTGGTAGTGGGACAATCCATTTATTATATCTAGACCTGATCTCATACAGTAGGTATTTTTATAAATGAGTTAAGCAAAAAATGTGGAGTTAAGGCTAAATACTACATTGATGATTTTACTAATTATAGTAGGTAAATTCAGCAGTAATTTTTTTTTCTGAATTATGACTATCCAGAACTCCTTTGTATCACACAGAGCAGAGGTTGTGATCTGTTCTGTCTCATCAACAGGCTGGGGGTGGGCGACAAGATGGCTTATTGTACATTTCTCTGTATAGGCTTTGGCTATTACTCCTTCAAAATGCAAGGTCAAGGTAACGGAGATCTGCAAGGGAGTGGTACCTGAGCTCATGGCAAGGATGAGTGAGGCGGCGGATGTAGCTCACAGATTGGGCAGGCCAGTGTGGGGTTGAGGGAGGGCCATTATCCTCCTTTTTGCGCTGTGCTGGGTAAGAGACTTCATCTGGAAAAGTGCAAAAAACAGTGACTACCTCAAATAACGCAAACTATGCTTCGGAGAAGACCTGACAAAAGAAGAAAAAGCGTCCTGTGCACTGCTATGACCTTATGTACAAAAAGCAGGCAATGAAGGGAAAAAGGCTTACTTTATCGGCTCTAAAGCATACATTGACGGAAGAGAAATGTTCCAGAAAAAATGGATACTACTTGATTCCTGCTCGCTTGAAGCAAAATCAGGGATGATTGTTTCGAAGATAAGCACTTTTTTATTTACTATTAGTATTTAGTTTATAATTACCATTTGGCTGTTTGCCTATATTTCCAAATTTAGAAGGAGAAAAGCAGAGCTTTCTTTTTTTTCTTTCTCTGTAATATTACTTTTTTATTTGTTCGAGTTTGCCGTGTTTGATGATCTTAAAGTTATGTTCTATTAATGCCAGAGGTTTGAGGAACTTAGTCCAAAGAAAAGCCTTTTTTCTTTTTTTGCAAAGAATACAAAAGTGACTTAATTTTCACTCAAGAGGCTCATTTGTGAGGACTTTAATTTTTGGAAAAACCAATGTGGAGGTGAGATGTGGTTAGCTCATGGCTCCAGTCACTCAGGTGGAGTTGCAATTTTAGCACATACTTTCCATGGAAAATATGTGTGGAGCAAAGGGGATTCTAAAGATCATTGGATAATATTACTGATTTATGTAAATTCATTTTTGTTAATGTTTATGTGTACTGTTCAAAAGATGCAAACACTTTGTTATTAGGTGAAATTGAAAGTTGTGTTAACTCGACCATGAAAAACAACCCTAATGCTAAATGAATTATTGGAGGTGACTTTTATTGGGTCATGAATGTTTCCATGGATAGATTCCCTCCTAGAGCAAACAGTGAGTTTAGTGATCTTTTACGTTTAAGTTACAGTCTTGACTTAATTGATATTTAGAGGGTAAAAAAAAAACTCAACTAAGCAGTTTACTTGGAGCAACAAAAATTTCTCAACAATCCAGTATTGACTTTTGGTTGGTTTCTTCAGACTTAGAGTCTTTTATTATAGATACATCTATACTGCCAGTTGCTTTCACTGACCATAAATCATTAGCTTTAAAATTGTATTATCAGGACGTAAAAATCATAGACTTATTGGAGGATACTGGAAACTCAATAACTCACTACTAAATTATGAGGACTTGAAATCCATTATAGAAAGACTTATCCATAAGCATTGGATCTCTGCAATTAAAAATGGTGTATTTGGTAAACAATTGGAACAATTGAAATAGGGCTTGAGAGCCAATTCCACACGTGGTATGGCTACATCGTGGGCCTTACTCAGGGGAGTTTCTGTTCCAGATATTTGTTCAGCAGCTAGTAGGGCTATGCCACACACTTTTGTGTAGTTCTATAGACTGGACGTGTCTGAGCCATCCTGAGCACATGCAGTGCTGGTAGCTAGGTCTGTGCCCATTTAATTTTTATGGGTGATAGCAGTGATATGGGTACAATCCGGGAATGGTCTATATCTCCCATAGTGAAACACCGAGTGAAGTTAGAAAAAGAATAATGGGTATTCTAATGTAAACCCGGGTTCTTTGATAACAGAGTGAGGTGTTTCACCAGCACTTCCTTCCTTGCACAGGTACGGGAAGAAATCTCTCTATAATGACTTTGGCAGGGGTCGACCTGGCTGATATAGTTGCCGTGGAGTCTGGTTACAGGTCGACCTGTCTGTCAAAGACAGATGTGGTGTCATAAGAGCTTCTGGAGTTGGTCACAGCCAAAGCATTTTAAAAAGCTTATTATAAAATTATTATTTTAAAGTTCTCTTTTGTGATTTCTGGAAAAATATCAATGTTAAGGTTTCAAACAGTTTCCTTTAATGTTGTTTTTATGTGTGTTTCAGGACATCCTGAGAAGGATGACTGGGAAAACTCAAACCAGCAATATAACTAACAAGACAGATCCTCGCTCTCTGAATTCAAGAGTGTTCATTGGTAACCTCAACACTGCTGTGGTCAAGAAAACTGACATTGAGCTCATTTTTGCCAAGTATGGCAAGATTACGGGCTGCTCTGTGCACAAGGGCTTTGCTTTCGTCCAGTATGCCTGCGAGAGGAACGCTCGATTGGCTGTGGCTGGTGAGAACACCAGGGTGCTGGCTGGACAGACCTTAGGTAAGTGAAATTGATTTCTCTTTTTATTGATGTAAATGATTGGACTCAAACAGGTGACAATGATTTCAATGAGGAGGAAGGTAGAAAAAAGTAGAGCAGGAGAAAATGAGAAAAGGAAAGAAAGGTGTGAGATCTACAGACACAGAGACAGTTGTTCTTAGGTCATAGCCGTTCCCATGACTACCTGTTAAATATTCATCATCCTTTATTAAAAATGAAACTCCTGCTGTCACTGTTGCAGCAGTGGGTCTTTTGTGCTGGACTGATTTTCCTTAAGGTTACCGTTACCTTTTTTTGAACTGCTTTATTTATTTATTTATTTTTAGATGACTTGATCTTTCCTTGTGAAAAAATATTAGTTGCTTGATTTGATACAGCGCTGAGCATTTGTAACCAGCAAAGTGTTTTGTTTAATTTCAGAAAGAAAGAAAAAAAGTATTTTGATGAAAAATTCTAATGGCTTTGGATGGTTTAGGGCACTTTTCAGCTTGTCAGTTTGGGAGATCACTGCTCCACATTTTAATATAGTTATTTTAAAAATAGTAACCAAATCAGCATAGTATTTAACAGCAGCTGTGGGATGCTGTTCTTATGATGTACAACATGATCCAAGATCAGAGACAATCTGAGACAAGAGTATAAACGGCATCTAATGCTGATATATATATGTACTAATCATACATTTATACATGCTGTATATGTTTGTGAAAGATTATTTTCTTAAATATGGTAGATAAACACAAAAAGTATTTTCTTAAATAATGCTTTATTTATTTATTTAATAAATGTATTTTATTGATACAAAACAGCAGTATTTATTGAGTCCAGATTAGTAAATTATAATTGTTTTGATTTTTTTTTTCTTCAAATTTTTGTTGCATATTTGTCAACACCCCCATTTTGTGTCAGTGGTACGGTCTGGAATGGTGCATGCCTGTATGCTGAACTCTATTCAGTCAGTCTCTCAAAGTGTCACTATATGGTGAAGTGAGTTCAAAATCTGAGACAAGAGTATAAACGGCATCTAATGCTGATATATATATGTACTAATCATACATTTATACATGCTGTATATGTTTGTGAAAGATTGTTTTCTTAAATATGGTAGATAAACACAAAAAGTATTTTCTTAAATAATGCTTTATTTATTTATTTATTTAATAAATGTATTTTATTGATACAAAACGGCAGTATTTATTGAGTCCAGATTAGTAAATTATAATTGTTTTGATTTTTTTTTTCTTCAAATTTTTGTTGCATATTTGTCAACACCCCCATTTTGTGTCAGTGGTACGGTCTGGAATGGTGCATGCCTGTATGCTGAACTCTATTCAGTCAGTCTCTCAAAGTGTCACTATACTGTGAAGTGAGTTCATGGGAAAGGAATCATTTATTCCTCAAAATATTGTATGTACAACCTAATGGACATGTACAGAAGAACAATGCATAAAGGGAAGCGGAATCAGAGATGTAAGTATTTTACAGACAGATAAGTACCTTATTTCTGATAAGTGCTTTTAATACATGATTTGTAACAGAATCAGTAAAATCGAAATAAGTATAATAATACTTTTGCAGTTTTGTAAATTAAAATGAACGTTTTTAGGAAATGTTAGTAATAACGTAATATTATAGTTCTGTTTTTCTCGTTTGATATTTTAAATCTGTTTAATTATTAATAAATACATTTAATAAATGCAATTAAAATGTACATATGAAACATGTGTTTGTAATTAAGTGCAGGAGATCTCCTGTGGAAAGCATCTTCTAAATGACAAGTAACCAAATGTACTTATATGTAGTAAAAAGTGAGAAAATATGCAGTTTCCATAAGGAATTATTTCTACTTGATCTCAAATGACTTAATAAAAATAAATAAATAAATAAATACTTGTAAGTAAAAAAATAGATTTGTTGCAACCTAATATAGTTATTGCACTTTAAAAATATTAAAATATTATATTACTTAATATAATAATTAGCAATAATAATTAGTATCACAAAATTATATTATTTACAATAAAAATATTTTTTGACTTGAATAAAATGTTTATTTCAGTGCTGCTAGATGAAACATTTTTAAGATTATAAATCTTGTTCATTCTTTCTTTCTTTCTTTCTTTCTTTCTTTCTTTCTTTCTTTCTTTCTTTCGACCTGTCTGAAATGTAGTACAGCACATCACCTTTATTAGCTAGCTGAGCATGATTTATTTTTCTCCTTGACGACAGAATTTTCTCCTTTAACTTTTTCATACTCTTTGACCGACTCCAGAAGATTTTAAATGCAGTCTTGACCAGACCAAGTAGTCAAAAAATTTAAATTACTATAATTAGATGTTTGCAGAAACGTAATTTTCTAAACCCCAAAAGCTGTTAAATTTGGATGCAAGTTTCTGTTCATAATGAGCATCCATGTTTTGTGTGTGTCTAATCAAAGACACAAAGCAAAGTTTTGTAGCTGTGCACACACAAGACTGCAGGGATAATGAGCGGCACTGAAAATGGATACAATGTCCTCAAGTGTACAAACCATTCCAGACAATTGCGCACATCAGTCACCAAATTACATCACGCCACAAAGGAATGAATAACGGAAGTGGAAGAGATGTTTGATAAGTAGGTCATGAATGGAAAACACTCATTAGTGAAAGAGATACAAAACAAATGCCAGAGGTGTCTGAATAATATTCATAGGCTACTAGCTAAAACAGAACTATATGAATTGGGTTTTAATGTCTGCAAAGTGATTTTCTTTGAAAATAAATAATGTCCTTGAAGTTCTTTCTTGCTTAGTCCGGTATCTCGAGTCACTTTGTTTGCTGAGGTTTATCAGAGCAGATATTTATTTTAGAGTTTGGCATTCAGGCACAAGTTTAGGCATAAGACTTCAGTTATGTCTCGTCAAATGAATCACTCAAAAAACTTAGACACATTGACATTGAGCAGAGGTCATCACTAAGAGAAATGCCAGTCTTCTCTCTACGCTAAGCCTGACAGACCTTTGAGAGAACAGCATACTGAGTAGAGGAGGCCCATTGGTAAACTCAGATTAAAGTATTGATATGGCTCCATGTCTAAAATGTGGTGGTATTTTAAATGATCCGCACATATCGAGTGAAATGTCTAGCGTGTCATGGGACCACCCACTGATTATTGGAGCAGCTAGATGATTCAAACTGTTTTGGATCGTTTTTGTCTCCCAAGAAACCATTATTAAGATCTCACAAAATCATTATCGAGAATTTAAATCACTTGCTTCCCCAATAATGTTGTCAAAGAGACTCAATGAAGTCGTTCGTGTACCTCAAACTGTAAAGAAGTGTTTGATTTGTCATGAGAATACATGAACTAAAAAAAATTTATGGCTTGAATGCAAGATTAACCATTTATTGTGTCACTGTTCATGCTAATGATGACTTCCTTTTGAACATCAAACACAAAAACAATTCTTGACCCCATTCTGTTCATGAAAAAAGTATACACGAACCTAGAAATATTGAGCAGAATATTAAAATCTCATCTTATCAACAGACTAAACCTTCTGATATTTTCTTGAATATTAAAAAAATAAACGTATTGTGACAAACGTAATAAAAACTTTTTAAAAAGCATAATAAAAATGCTTTTTTATTAATAATATAATATAATATATTAAATATATATATATATATATATATTATTAAGTTAATAAAAAATGCAAAATGATACAAATAAAATATATAATCTTCCAAATTAGTACTGGTCAGAAATAAGATCTTAAAGGGATATTTCACTCAACATTTACTAACTCTCATGTCATTTTTGGTCAGATGTTTTTGATGGAGTAATTTTTGGATGAACTATCCCTTTATGTTTCTCTAACATTTTAGAAACCGACATCAAACTCATGAAGATATCTTTTGAACTTCAAACACTTTAAATCAACATAATTACATTAATTTGAAGAGAACTTCTTTTTATTAAAGCTTTTGTGTTAACGTCAAACTAATTATTATGTTTCCATGGAAAACGTCCGCTCTCATCGCAGAAGGTTAGCTGTAATTAGAAACTGCTAATTAAAGAGGATGAAACTAACATGATCTTCCCAATCAACTGTTTTTTCTCCTGCTTTTCAGTTGCTGTATTTGAATGTATTTTCCAATATATTCATTAAAATGTTTTGAAACTTCAATCTCATGAATATATTCCGAGCAAAGCATGACTGTCTCCATTTGAAAGGTCTGTATGCTTCCATAATGAATTTGGCTCAGTCAGGCAAAGACTAATCTAAACTTTGAAAGTGCACTACTTTTCTTCACAGATTTAATGCTTTGTTTTGCGCTTCATCAGAGTGAAGACTGAAATTGCTTGTAAATGTCTTAAAGCCCTGAATTGTCAGGCACCCAGGCAGCCCGTCCTTCTGGATAATGTGCCGGGTGACCTTGAAAGGCACTCAGGTGTGATTGTGCATCTGTGTGTGTGTGTGTGAGGCTGTTGCTCTGATAGCATCTCTCTTTCTGATGAGACAGATGAGATCCATCAGTCATTTATTCTGTGGCATAATGCCTATGCACTTTCTCAGGGCGCAGAGGCTTTTCTAAGTCCATTATATTCATCGGCCAATGTTAGTCATTCATTTGAAGGAGAGTATAATTAAAAGGGAAAGCGTATACTGTTTTTGTAGAATGCCCTTTGCTCTTCCCACAGACATGAACATGGCTGGAGAACCACGTCCTTACAGGACAAAAGTGGCATCCAAGCAACCTTTCTCCTTATACAGGTGAGCCACCTAAATTGAAAAAAAGAAAGAAAGGAAAAATCTGCATTTTTTCCCCCATTGTAATGAGTAGATATGGAAAGATTTCATTAACATTTTTCTCATCTTTTTTATTTATTTATAAGTGGCTATGAATTTCATAATGATTTCTACAGGGATGATTTCTATACCAGGTATGTATATGCATTCACTAATGCAAATGCAATAATTCAAAGCTAATCATTTTATACAGTTACACTGGTATTTCAGTAGTATTGGTAAGATCTTTTCTTACAGGAGCTTTGTAATATGTTTTTGTTAATTACATTTTTAGTTAAGATCCACCTTGTCTCGTATGACCTTTTCTATGTTATGAAAAACTGATGTAAGGTGGAGAAAACAATTTAAAGCTAAAAAGTAGAGGAAGAACTTCCCCTAATAACCATAATTAATGTCATTTTATTGGTTTGACTTGGATTCTTTGCTCAGGCTAATGATGAGCAGTCCTCTCCTGAGAGACATTAGCTGAATGTCAGAAAGCTGCTGGCTCGTTAACTGAGCAGCGCAGACACACCGGTCATCTTTCCTCTGACATTTTCATGTGTTTGCTTTCACTCCTCATTTGGCAGAGCTGAGATTTATACATCTCCATGGAAAATATGTGTGTGCTAAATTCCTTCAGTGCGGTTATTTAAAAATATGCAAGTAAGAGCTAATTATGCTCATCAAGCGTTGTCTCAGGGGAGAAGGACTAAAAAGTGATCTTGCTCTTTTGCATGTAGACTAAGATATTCTCTCATCTCTTTATATTGTCTATCATAAAGTGTAAATGATTATATAAAAAAAAAAAATTTAATTTAATAATAATAATTGAGTGACATTTAACTAAAAAATCAACAAGGACTTCTTAATGTCATTACAGTATACACTACTGTACTTTTCAGTATACAGTTTACAGTAAAAATACAGTAAAAACAGTAATATTTTAAATTATTTTTACAATTTAAAATAACTGCTTTCTATTATAATACATTTTAAAATGTAATTTATTCCTGTGACGGCAAAGCTGAATTTTCAGCAGCTATTATTTCAGTCTTCAGTCGTCACACGATCCTTCAGAAATAATTTTAATATGATGATTTGGTTTTCAAGAAAAATTTCATATTATTATCAATACTGAAAACAGTTGTGCTGCTTAATATGTTTGATAATATAAAACCGTGATACACTTTTTAGTGATTAAAAAAAAAAAATAATAATAATAACATCAAATATTTTTATATATTTCTCTTCAGGATTTTTGACATTCATGGGAGATTAGCACCATCCCCTCGGGCTATGATACCTAACAAGCATTCCCGTTTGCTTGCACTCTCAACACGCAGGACAAAAAACTCTTTCCAGCCAAAGATGTCCACCTGCTCTTCTTATCTGAAAACGCTGTCGCCAGGTTCCTTATGCTCTATGGGTTTGTCCATCATTCCAAGTCTATTTTTGTCATATCATTGCAATTTCAATTACCATGTTTTTAGCCCCTAGAAGACTCCGTAATCAGGTGCCTTTAATAACCGGGACTTTGATATAACATGTCCATACCATCCATCATCTACTGCCAACCATAATCATTTAAAATAATAAAATAAAATTTTACAGTAATGAGCTGATAAAATCACAGTGCTGCATATTCATCCTCCTCATTATTTGTTTGTTTGTTTTTATCTAAGTGAAATCCGATCAGCTCTTGACAATCAAGCAAGAACTGTCCCAGATAAAGCTTAAGATCGACTCCTTACTGGGAAGGCTAGAGAAGATTGAACAGAAGCAGTTAGCAGAAGCAGGTAAGAGGATGAAATGAACATTGCTGTCAGCGTAGAGGCCATGTTGGCAAGAGGAAAGATTACAAACACTTGTCTTCATCACTTTCAATGTCAGTGCAGGAAATCGAAAACAGCACCACTCGTGTCTACACACACACACAAACATTTGGACTAGGAGAGGAAACAAATACCTGCACATTAATCTCATTATCTCATTCATCTTTCTGTCCATGATCTCAAAATTGTGTAGAAGTCCACAGGAAGCACGAGAAGGCCTATCAATCTCTCTATAGTGAGACAGAAGAGGATGCGGGGTCTTGGGAAGTGACTGATGAAGGTGATGCTGGAAATAATGACAGGGCTAATGGTGAACTGGTGAGCTGTCATTGAACTCATCTGAATGGGAAATGGCATTTGTTTTTATTTGATATATCAGCAAGACCCACTTGTATAGGATATAATTGTGTGTGTGTGTGTGTGTTAAATCCCAGATAGAAAACCACATATCTGATGTAGACAACTGAGCAAGGTTGGTACCACAAATTCTTGTCACATTATATTTAACATACTTCTCTCTTTTTATTTGTCATTATCAAAAAAGTATATTGCCTCTGTCTTTCAAGACTTTTGTGAGATGTACTGATGTCACTACTGGAGATCTGAGACTCTCTGCTCTCCATGTAAGAAGAATATTATATTGTTATACCCATCATTTTCAGTCAGATTTGAGCATTCATAAGCAATGCCCTGTAAACTAAAAGCCACTTTAGCCATTCATTTCTGAGTACTGATGTCTCTGAAATGTCTCATTATTTGACCTTCAATATCAGGAAAACAGAAAGTCCTCTTTTGCTTCATTTCAGTGTATAACCGACAGTTTCTTGGATAATACTTAATGTATTTCCAAAATAAATTCTGTGATATTTCTATATTTAAAAAATATTGAAATATTTTTTCACTTTTTTCTTTCTGCAGGACTGGGACCAGCACACCTGTCAAGTTGACTGTTTTTGGAAGATATCCAGTTGGAATTGTTCACCCTTTCATGTCAAGTTATTTATTTATTTGTTTGTTTGTAGTTTTTTATTCATTCAACTGGTCATACCTTTACATACGTGAGTATTTATAGTCAGACAAAACAAAAGGATGAAACCATAACTTAATATGTAAAATAAGTAATGTATTTTATCTAGAAAATGCGATAAACTTCAGTGTCACGGTCAGTAAGGTTTACAAATAATTGGAAAAATTAAATTGTATATGCACTTGATTTTTTTGGACATTATAATTATGTACATATTTAAATAATGTTTATTGAATGCATATTTATGTATAAGTAAACTATCATAAAATGATTTGTCTCACCCATTATTAGGAATATAAGCTACTTTTACATCTCTATTTCTTTTTTATTTTTATTGTAGTTTATAACTCATCTGAAAACTGTGGTAAAATCATTTTTATGTGTTTAATATTGTGTGACGCCTTTGTGAAATAAAATCGGCCAGACATCAATTGTAGCAGGTTTTTGATTTTGGGGTATTTAACGCTGATTGTATCTGTGCAGTAATGTAAGCCAACTGAAAGCACAAAATACTCACTAGGTAGGCAGCTCACCATTTCTTTTGGGTTACTGTCTCAGTTCAGTTCAGCTGAGCTCATCTGAAACTTATGAAACAAAAGCCGTCTATAGGAAGTGACTAAGGACCCGTACCGGCACATGTTGGGATAGAGGGAAATGAGGAAGCTGATCAAATGGCCAAGAAGGCATTAAAACAAACCGATATAGATATAAACATATCACTTAGTAAAGCAGAAATAAAAGGAATAATCAGAGGGGCTATAATTAGGAAATGGCAAAAGATGTGGGATAGGGAGGTAAAGGGTCGGCATCTATACAACATTCAAAAACAAGTTGGAAATGGAAGGAAAAACTTTGGAAGTAGGAAGGAGGACACAATAATATCTAGACTCCATATTGGTCACACAGCTCTTAATCAATCATTATTTATTATTGGTAAACATGAATCAGGTAATTGCAATAATTGTGGTATACCAGAGACTGTGGAACATATCCTATTACATTGTGAAGCATATGAAAGAGAAAGAATGCGATTAATAGAAGAATTAAGTTTGTTGAATATTGAAAGAATAACAAATAAGACAATACTAGGGTATGCTCCAGCACAGTATAAAGTCTATAATGCAATTATTAATTATTTGAAAGCAATAGGTTTAATAAATAGAATTTGAAGATCACATAATGAAGTATATAAAATAATTGTATCCTTGTGTAATACTCCTTTGGTCAAACTAAAGGTTATTTGATTGATTGATTTATTTTTCTATACGCTGTCACCAATATACGTCATTCTCCACACTCCAGTCCAGTAGGTGGCGGAAATGCACCTTTTAAGTGGGTTTGCCAACCGCCATTAAAAAGAAAAGAAGAAGAAGAAGAAGACTGAAGGCGAAATCATGAAGTCATGATTTTAGTACTGAAGTTTCAGGGTTGCCAGGATATTTAAAAAAGAAACGCCCAATTGCTGCTAAAAACTACCGCTGGAAAACCGCGGACTTGGCAACACTGCGAAGTTGCGCAGGCGCTGTGAGGGGGGAACAGGGGAACTGAATTCGCCGGAACACCGGCCAGAAGTAGGAATCAGTAAGCGGGACTTTTAATTTCTGCAGCGATAACAATGTAATGTTAATGGAAATCTTTTGAATCCTTCGCAGGCAGTTAAAGTTTACCACAAGTCAGGTAGGTAATTGTAACACACATCCTTTTATACATATTATGTACAGCGTAATGGAAGAGAGGAAGTTATCGTGAAATCAACAAAAATAATCAGGCTAACAGAAAACTAACGTCACGTCACTTTGCATTTGAAATCAAAGTTGTATTAAAGCTTTACCTATTCAATCGTTTTATGCAACCTTGGCAGCTATGCATGCCTTTTAATAGGAGAACTGGCTTGTTATTAACACAAATTATGCGATCAAAGTTGTGTAACGTTACGTGATCAGACTGGGCATTGTTTACATCACGTGTTGTGTTGTCAAGTGCTGAAACTTGTCTAAAACTTCGCCTTAATTCTCATTATCTGACTTACAAGACCCAATTGTACAGTTATTTCGATGAAGCTTCAATCGTTTTGTAGCAGCAATGTAAATAAACGTCTAGCTGTGTGGAAAAGTAACACGTTATGTTGTGGCTAATGTAACTTATCCAGTCAGCGATTGTTGTTGTGACCTATTCGGTCATGTACGTTAACATCCCAGAGGTCTGCGGGTTATTGTGGGTTATTGCTTATGTATTTGACAGGTTGAAAGAAAGACAGAAGCTTGTTCTCAGTGTGTCTGTGGCAGGTCATGGCTGTTGGAGAGCTCTGTCTAATTGATAAGGATATTTCAAGGTAAGTTTAACTCATAGTTTACAGCAGAAGTGCCCGTTAACAGGCTGGGCTGTATTTTAAGTACAATGTGTGATTGTGACTTCACTGAAGATATTTATTTTTAGTCTTCTAGAGGTCCCACTGAATCCCAGCATTTCATCCCTGAATCTTCACTGTAATCGCCTCACTAAGATTGAGGGCTTGACAGCATGGCACATAAGACATCTGGACCTGTCATCTAATCACATCTGTCGTATAGAGGGACTAGCTTCCCTGTCCTCACTGTGCACCTTAAACTTGTCCTGCAACTTAATCACCAAAGTAGAAGGTAAAGCTCACATTTGTTCAGGCAGAAAATGTGGCAAATGTTTCTAATGCCCTGTAGTATAATTTTAACGGTACAATGAAAGCTTGTCTGTTTTGAATTTGGTCTTAAACAGTTCCTTCCTGTTATTACTTCTAACTGTGTGTCTTTGGTTTGTAATCTGTCAATACATGGAATGGATTTCTTTCAGGACTTAATGGACTAACAAATCTCACAAGACTGAATTTGGCCTACAATCAAATAAATGACCTAACTGGTAGGTTAGATTGCATTCCCATCATTCCTGTGGCTCAGTGGTAGAGCATTGTGTTAGCAGCGCAAAGGTCCGTGGGTTCAATTCCCAGGGAACACACATACTGATAAAAAATGTATAGCCTGAATGCACTGTACGTTGCTTTGGATAAAAGCGTCTGCTAAATGCATACATTTATTTATTTTATTTATTTATCAAATGTGTTAATTCTTGAGTAGTTTGTTTTAATTCTCTGAATAGTTTGACATTTAAGATAAGAAATGTACTCTACCATTCAAGTCTGGGGTCGGTATTTTTATTTATTTATTTAAAAAGCCTCTTATGTTTATCAAAGCTGCATTTATTTGATCAGAAATACAGAGAAAAAGTAATATTGTAAAATATTATTACAATTTAAAATAACAATTTTATTTTGATATATATAGCTATATTGACTATAATAGAACTACTTCTATTTTATATTTTAAAATGTAATTCATTCCTCTGATGACAAAGCTGAATTTTCAGCACCATTACTCCAGTCTCCAGTGTCACATGATCCTTCAGAAATCATTCTAATATGCCGATTTGGTGCTCAAGAAACATTTCTTATTATCAATCTTGTAAACAGTTGTGCCGTTTAAAATTTCTGTGAAAATAAAAACGATTTGCTGATGAGAAAGTTCAAAAGGACAGCATTTATTTGAAATGGAACAATGTAAAAGTCTTTTGTCACTTTTAACCAGTGCATCTCTGCTGAGTAAAAGTATTCATTTCTTTAGCTATTGAATTTATTATTATCGTATTAAACCCCAAACCTTTGAACAGTAGTTTAGATCACAACTGGACAACTGTGTATTCACTCACGGCTCTATGCTTTTAGGTCTCTTGCATCTCCATGGAGCAGAGTATAAACTAAAGTACCTGCAGCTCCACAGCAATAGTTTGGATAGCATGAACCACCTGCTGCAGTGCATGCTGGGACTGCAGAATCTGAAAAATGTTACTTTTAGCAAGGATGGCGCACAGAATCCAGTTTGCTCACTGCCAGGTTTGTAGGAAAAAGCCCTGAAGAAAAATCAAGACTTCTTTTTATCAGACATGCAAACTCTGAAACGTGTAATGGAACTGGTGTGGAAAATCTGAAATTGTCTAAAAGGGCCAAAAAGAATATATAAGAGAGAAATAGTTGTCAGCTTTTTTCACTAATATGTTATTCCTTTGTTTGTAGGCTACAGAGAGATGGTTCTTCAGTCTCTGCATCAAATCACCACCCTAGATGGAGTAGATCGCCTAGGAAATGCATCTGCTTTAGCAGAGGACAGTCCTATGGTTGTTCCTGGTCTTGAGGACTTTCTCGAGTTTCTAATTTCATCAGATGCTAGCATTAATGGAGAACTGGTAAACTATTTTATGATACTATTTCTTTTCTCAGCCTCCTCAGATATGATCTGCTTTAAGACTGAGAATGACATTTAAATAATCGTGAGGTGGTTATGAGATACATGTTTATGTTCAGTGTGTTTCTTTGCTATTAAGGCAAAGTCAGATGCTCCACTCACTACTCCACGGATTGATGAAGTCCTGACCCAGTTTTGGCAACGAGGAGGAAAAGCAACTGCAGAAAATAAAGAAAATGAGCAGCGAATTAAAAAACTAGAGCAGCAGGTTTCCCATCTCATTCAGAAGGTAAAGTAAGGGAAAATTGATTACTACATTTCAGTTATCATTGATTCCATCATTAATTATCATTAATTCAGTCTTTTCATAAAAATAGCACAATCCAAAATTTAGGAAATAGTATCAATTTAAATTGTACATTTGTACATAGGTCCCTACAGGGGATGGCTTTAAAGCAAACAGTGCTGTACCTTCTGTGGTACATAAAGCAAAAAGAGACACTGATCAGACATCAGAGAGTGAATTTGACAGTGGAAAAGAGAACCAACGGCAATCCAGAATCCTGTCTCATCCCAGAGGCTCTGCAGGGAAAAGACTGGCCAAGGACACCAAACCCAAACAATCTGAATGGTGAAATAACTTGTACACATTCATATTTATAAATGCGTTTTGTCTCAAATCAAATTTCAAGTGCTTATTGAGAATTTGGACTTGAGTTGCACAAACACATCTCATTAAAGTTTACTGGATTTGATTAATAATGTAATTTGCCCCAGCGCAGGGCTTGAATTGTGTTTTGAGAGGCTTCAATATATTTACTTGCTGCATTCTTCCTCAGTGCAGTCTTTGTTTTGTTTTTTAAATCTAACTTAAG